TTCACAACACCCTTCCTTCAGGATTGGACAGATCCACAAACATTTTGTGAGTGCCTACTGTGTTCCAGTGGTGTAGTGCCTAAGGCATTTGATTGCTAACCAGTAGGCTGGCAGTTCAAACCCACCAGCCACTCCTCAGAAGGAAGGTTGGGCACTCTACTTCTGTAGTGATACTGCCTCGGAAACCCAAGGAGGGGTTGCCATGAGTCGAATCTGACTCGATGGCAGTGAGTTTGGTTTGATTTTTTGGTTACTGTGTTCCAGGCACTAACCAGACATACTTCTTGGTTCTAGGAATACAACAATGAATAGAACTCCCAAAAATTTCTGCTCTCATGGATCTTTCACTTTTATAGGGGGAGAAAGACAATATAATAAGCCATAGGCTATATTATATACTTTTATTATCTATTTTTCAATTATCTTTCTGCCTTCATAAAATATATAAGTTTATGAAGTCAAAAATTTTTGGAAGTTTTATTCACTATTGTATTTCCAGCACAAAAAGTATGCCTGGTTAGTTCCTGGAATAGAGTAACTATAGGGTCCTTCGATGGCGATTTACACTCAATTGCTGGCCTAAAGGTTGGCAGTTTAAACCCATCTAATGATAATGTTTTGGTAGCATAGTGGCTAAGACATTTGCCTGCTAACCAGATGGCTGGCGGTTCAAACCCACCAGCCACTCCTCGGAAGGAAGGTTGGGCAATCCTACTTCCGTAGTGATACTGCCTCGGAAACCCAAGGAGGGGTCGCTATGAGTCGGGTTTGACTCGACGGCACATAACAACAACAACAACAATGATAATGTGGAAGAAAAGGCCTGGTGATTTTCTTTTGTTAATATTATACTCAAGAGCAGTTCTACTCTGTAACACATGAGGTCACCATGAGTTGGCAGTGACTCAACAGCAATGGGTTGTTTTTTATTTTTAAGTACTATGGAAAAAACAAAATAGTAAAATCAGAATATGGCACAGGATCTGCTGGGTAGGGGGACTTTAGTTCAGGGAGTTCATGGAAAGCCTCACTGAGCTGATGGCATTTGAACAAAGATATGTAAAGGAGGTGATAGAATAAGCCATGAGATTATAGGAGAAAAGCATTCCAAGCAGAGGTGGGGAACAATTACAAAGCTCCTGAGGTAAAACAGTGCTTAGCATGTCTGAGGGATCACAAAGAGTGGGGTATGGCCACAGCAGAGTCAGGGCAGGGCACTGGAGATGAGGTGTCAGGGAGACAGCTCCTTGGCCCTTTAGGCCATGGTAAGGACTTTGGTTTTCATTCAGAGTGAGGTAAGTACCCCTTGGGGGATTCTGAGCAGAACAGTGTCATGACCAGACAGAACTGCCCTGGCTGTTCAATAGACTTTACCAAAGCAAAGATGAAAAAGAGAAACCAACTACAAAACTATTTTAGCCAGGGGAGAAATGATGCTTTAGGCAAGGGGGGTAGCTGTGGAGGTGGTGAGAAGAGCTGGATTCTAATGGACTTAGTCTGAAAGTAGAAGACAGGAACTGCACATGCTTTGGGTGTGGGCTGTGAGAGATGAGCCAAGGTCTTTGGCCTGAGCAACCAGATTCAACACTTCTGAGGCACTCACTGGAGAAAGGGGTCTTAAGTGATCTTTGGAAACACCTCTGCCTTGGCCTTTCCCATATTCTATTTCTCACTGTGTTCCCAGCACCTGTTACAATAGAGCAATCACCATTTATTGGGCCCTGAGTCTATCTTCAACAAGCATTAATGCCAGAGGCTTAGCAGACATCTCTAATTTTCAAAACTAGGGAATGCGCATATGATTAGCTCCAATTTTTAAAGAAGAACCTGAGTACCCAAAAGGAAAACTATTTTCAGGGTTTCCACTCAGGTCTTCCTCCACTCCAAAATCTCCACCACACGGAGGCGTCCCATTAGAAGCTGTTAAACGCACACACCAACAAACAGCAACCTCTGGCACGAGCAAGGCCTCAACAAAAGGAGGTGAAGAGCGCGCCATCACTTCTTGGGCCGCACAGAAGCGAGCTCCGGGACACACCTGTTCAGAAAGCGCTGGGGTGCCCCGTCCTGCCTCCAGGGCTTGTACTCCACCGGGGCCCACGCCCAGCACCACAGCAGCACCTGAAACTTCTAGATTTACCTGTTGCGACGCCGGCGCAGCTCCCACGCCCGTGCTGCTGGTGGCCGCGCCCGCCCCTGCCACAGCCCCAGCTACAGCGGTGGCCGCCGCCGCCACGACGACTGTCGTCAGGGCAGCCATCTTTCCTCGTCGATCGGCTTGGGTCGCTCTGGCCACGCGGGCCTGGGAGTTAACCGCTTCGGCAGTGCCGACCCTGTAGAAGATTCGTTGTCCGCGTGAACCTCCGGATAAACGAACTGGGAGGGCCACCCCGCGGAGATGCGGTGCGGAGCGCGGGGGGCGGGACCGAAACGAGGGGCGGGGCCGACATGCAGAATGGGGTGCGGCGGGGCGGGGCAGTACGGAGGTGCGGAGCAGGGTAGGGATGTGGGGCCAGGAGCTGCGGGCGTGCCGAGATGTGGAGGGGTTCCTGGAAGGGGGAGTGGTGGACAGGGACTTAGGTGTGCACTGTAACCTGCTTTGTAAGCTTTTTCTGTGTGCATGTGTGTGTGTGTGTGTGTATACACACACACATAAACCAAAAAAGCAAACTCACTGCCAGTCAAGGCAAACCAGACTCATAGGGACCCCTCCTTGGGTTTTCCAGGCAGTATCACTACGGAAGTAGATTGCCCAACTTTTCTTCTGAGGAGCGAGGAGTGGCAGTTGGGTTTGAACCATAAGCCTTCTGGTTAGCAGTCAAATGCCTTAGTCACTATGCCACCAGAGCTCCTTTGGTTTTATAAACACACACACACACACATACGTATATGTATCTATAGGGCGCTCTGGTAGCATAGTGATGTGGGGGGTGGAGCTGCTTGCAGGGCGGAGATGTGGAGGGGTGCCGGAAAGGAACCACCAGCCTTCTGGTTAGCAGTCAAATGCCTTAGGCACTACCCTACCAGAGCTCCCTATATATACATACATGCATATCTATATTGAGCTCTGGTAACATAGTGCCTAAGGCACTTGACTGCTAACCAAAAGGCTGGTGGTTCAAACCTACCAGCCACTCCTCAGAAGGAGGGTTGGGCAATCTACTTCTGTAGTGATACTGCCTGGGAAACCCAAGGAGGGGTTGCTATGAGTTGGTTCCGACTTGTTGTTGTGTGTCGTCGAGTCAAACCCGACTCATAGCGACCCCTCCTTGGGTTTCCGAGGCAGTATCACTACGGAAGTAGGATTGCCCAACCTTCCTTCCGAGGACTAGAGGGCACATAACAACAACAGTATCTGTCTCTGTCTCTGTCTCTCAACACCAAAGGAGCTCTGGTGGCAGAGTGTCTAAGGCACTTGACTGCTAACCAGAAGGCTGGTGGTTCAAACTCACAAACTGCTCCTGGAAAGAAAGGTTGGCCAATCTATGTCCCTAGTGATATCACCTCAAAAACCCAAGGAAGGGTCACTATGAGTCGGATCCAATTTGAAGGCAGGTAGTTTGTTTTTTTTTGGTTGCATAAAACCAAACTCACTGCCATGGAGTGGATTCTGACTCATAATGACCCCCATTGAGTTTCCCAGGTGGTAAATCTTTACGCTAGTAGATTGCCCAGTCTTACTTCCAGGGAGTGGCTGGTTGGTTTGAACTACCCAGCTTCTGGTTAGCCGTCAAATGCCTTAGGCACTGTGCTACTGGAGCTCCATGTATACGTGTGTGTGTGTGTGTGTGTGTGTGTATTTCATGGTAGAACTTCTTTCTAGGTTCCAACTATGGGCTGAGGAGCTCTGGTAGCACAGAGGTTAAAGCATTCAGCTGCTAACCTAAACTTCCCCATTGAAACCCACCAGCATGCTCAGTGAGAAAAAGACAGGCGTTCTATTTCCATGAAGATTTATAGCCTTGGAAACGCTATGGGGGCAGTTCTATTCTGTCCTATAGAGTCGCTATGAGTTGAAATATAATGGAAGTGGGGTTTTTTTTGGTTTTTTTGTACTAAGAGCTGGTGAAACTTGAGTGCAAGCGAAAAAACATTATTGATGGGTGTGAACAATAAACTACACTTCACATTTTCAAAGAAAAAAAAAAGCATGCCCTGTACCGACAAATATCAGATGCAGAAACAACATAGTTGCTACTTCATTAAGATAAGAGAAACTCTAAAGAGACTATGTTGGGATGGCAATAAAACACCCTACATGCCTCCTCAGTCACTGTGATATTTGAGCTGTTTTCTGGATGCATCCTTTTTCCTTCTTTAGAATAATCCATCCATAAATTCAATCAATATTGCACTCCTACTTCATTATAGGTGTTTAAGACTGAATAACACAAAGAGAATATAATTGAAGTCTGAGAAATGAGTCTTCCAACATCAATCAAGAGAAGAGGAAGGAGAGACTGAGAAGTGTGTGAGAAGGTAGGGAAATCAGAAGTCTGTAGAAGAAAGTGTTTCTAGAAAGAAGGAAAGATTAACCTGCAGTATGTGGCCCAGAAGAAAAGACTGAAATGGATGTCAGAAGAGACTCTGAAACTTGCCTTTGAATGGAGAAATGATGAAATGACAGGATAAAAGAGCTGAACAGGAGATTTCAAAGAGCAGCTCGAGCAGACAAAGCCAATTACTGTAATGAAATATACAAAGACCTGGAGTTAGAAAAACAAAAGGGAAGAACATACTCAGCATTTCTCAAGCTAAAAGAGCTGAGGAAAAAAATTTAAGCCTTGAGTTGCAATATTGAAAGATTCTACGGTCAAAATATTGAATGATGCTGTTGTTGTTGTTTGCCGTTGAGTCAGCCCTGACTCATAGCAACCCCTCCTTGAGTTTCCGAGGCAGTATCACTACGGAAGTAGGAATGCCCAACCTTCCTTCCGAGGAGTGGCTGGTGGGTTTGAACCGCCAGCCTTCTGGTGAGCAGTCAAGTGCCTTAGGCACTATGCTACCAGAGCTCCCTTGAATGATGCAGGAAGCATCAAAAGAAAATGAATACGCAGAGTCACTGTAGCAAAAGGAACTGGACAATGTTCATCCATTTCAGGAGGTGGGATATGATCTAGAACCAATGGTATTGAATGAAGAAGTCAAAGCTGCACTGAAGGAACTGGCGAAGAACAAGGCTTCAGGATTTGACGGAATACCTATTGAGATGTTTCAACAAACGGATGCCCCACTGGAGGCACTCATTTGGTTATGCCCAGAGATTTGGAAGACAGCTACCTGGACAACTGACTGGAAGATATCTGTATTTGTACCCATTCCAAAGAAAGGTGATCCCACAGAATGCGGAAATTATTGAACAATATCCACGCAAGTAAAATCTTAACTGAAGGTAAGTAAAAAATGGTTGCAGCAATATATTGACAGAAACTTCCAGAAATGCAAGCTGGATTCAGAAGAGGATGAGGAACGAGGGATATTATTGCTGATGTCAGATGGATCTTGGCTCAATGCAAAGAATACCAGAAAGATGTTTACTTGTGTTTTATTGACTATGGAAAAACATTTGATTGTGTGGATCATAACAAATTGTGGATAACATTGAGAAGAATGGGAATTTTAGAATACTTAATTGTACTCACGAGGAACCTGTACATAGACCAGGAGACTATCATTTGAACAGAACAAGGGGACACTGCATGGTTTAAAATCAGGAAGGGAGTGCGTCAGGGTTGTATCCTTTCACTATACTTATTCAATCTATATGCTGAGCAAATAATCCAAGAAGCTGGACTATATGATGAAGAATGTGGCGTCAGGATTGGAGGAAGAATCATTACCAGCTTGCAATACGCTGATGACACAACTTTGCTTTGCTGAAAGTGAGGATGACTTAAAGCACTTACTGATGAAGATTGAAGAATACAGTCTGCAGTATGGATTACATCTCAATATAAAGAAAGCAAAAATCCTCACAACTGGACCTATAAGCAGCATCATGACAAATGGGGAGAAGATTGATGTTGTCAAAGAGTTCACATTGCTTTCTACAAAAGACACCACTGGAAGCATCAGTCAGGATATCAGAGGACATATAGCACTGGCAAGTTGGCTGCAAGGGACCTCTTTCAAGTGCTGAGGAGCAGAGATGTCTCCTGGAAGACTAAGGTGCGCCTGACACAAACCATGATATTTTCAATCACCTCATATACATGTGAGAACTGGACAATAAATAAAGAAGACCGAAGAAGAATTGATGCTTTTGAGATGTGGTGCTGGTGAAGAATGCTGAAAGTACCAGGGACTGCTAAAAGAAACTAACAAATCTGTCCTGGAGGAAGTGCAGCAAGAATGCTCCTCGGAAGCGAGAATGGCCAGACTTGGTCTCACCTAGTTTGGTTGTGTTGTCAGAAGGGACCATTCTCTAGAGAAGGATGTCATGCTTGGTAAGGTGGAGGGTCAACGAGGGAGGGGAAGGCCCTCAATGAGATGGATTGACACAATGGCTATGGCTATGGGGTCAATTATAGCAGGGATCATGGAGCTGACGTGGGACTGGGCAGTGTTTCATTCTGCTGTGCTTAGGGTCTCTATGAGTCAGAGGTGACTCGATGGCACATAACAACAACAACAACATGTGGCCCAGAGGATGAGTGTGATGAGGTCAGAGAAATGATGACTGGATTTGGCAGTGGCCAACCTGACAAGAGCAGTGTCAGTGTGGTGGTGAGGATCAAAGCTTGACTGAATAGGCTGAGGAGAGAGAGGAGGTAGGTACAAACAATGTCTTTAGACAACTCTTTGGTGCATTTTGCAGTGCAGATGATCAAATAATCTGGTAGCTGGATACAAAAAGGACATGGGGGTGATGTGTGACCTCCTCTAACTTCACAAGAGAAAGAGTCAAGATGAACATCAACAGCCCAAGGCTGGTTCCTATGAGGTGGAGGTCTGACATGCCACCACCCTCCAACATTTTTTACCAATTCTAACAACTCTCCCTTCCTTGGCAACTGCCACTTCTCCACTGGGTTCAATAATTTGTTGCAATGGCCACACCAAGCTCAGAGATAATACAGTTATGAAGTTTATTAGGGAAATAACAGGTTACAATTCAGGATTGGGAATGCTCAGGATACAGTTCTTGGATCAGGATAGCCTCCCTTCAGCGGTACTCAAAGACAGGTGTCTCTCTGGCCCTCGACCCCTCAGTCTGGCCTCTTCCCTGCTCTGGCAAGTGTTACAAAGCTCTTTTAGCCT